ATCTAGGAAAAATAATCAAACTGCCGTCAGACTCTTAATCTGCAACACAAGAAACTAGCAGTAGAGTAACAGGCACGGATCGAAAAAGCAAACAAACAGCCCAGCAGCCTGAGAATCCTCCGCTTAACTAAGATAAGATATCACGTCCACGTCAGGTTACAACAAAGATCGCTGTGGATACGGGAGGTGGCAGAACGTACTGTACTTTAGAAAATCTCTCAAGAAAGAACTCCGTCCAAAAGAAATGACTCAGCAGATTTCAAGTTGAGAGAGGGTAAAGAAGAAACGGGAACAGCAGCGGCCCCTCCACAGCGCACACCGCTAAATTTTTTTTTTTTTGTTTTTTGGCAGGCAGGCAGAGTGGACAGTGAGAGAGAGAGACAGAGAGAAAGGTCTTCCTTTTGCCATTGGTTCACCCCCCAATGGCCGCCACGGCCAGTGCGATGCAGCCAGTGCACCGCGCTGATCCGATGGCAGGAGCCAGGTGCTTCTCCTGGTCTCCCATGGGGTGCAGGGCCCAAGCACTTGGGCCATCCTCCACTGCACTCCCGGGCCACAGCAGAGAGCTGGCCTGGAAGAGGGGCAACCGGGACAGAATCCAGCACCCAGACCGGGACTAGAACCCGGTGTGCCGGCGCCACAAGGCAGAGGATTAGCCTGTTGAGCCACGGCGCCGGCTTCACCGCTAAATCTAACAACAACACAGCGCGTGAGGCTGGGGGTGCAGACGCTCGCTGAGGGTCGGTGAACAGAAAGGGCTCACCGCGAGGGAAGCTCAGACATCCGGGCACTGAAGTGACCTCCACGAGGCTCAGGAGTGACAGGACCAAGGCTGTGCAGAACCAAATGCTTCCTAAACATCTCCTCTGGGAAGATGGGGAAATGAAAATCCCGTCTCCACTTATTCAGGGAGGGGCTGGGGTCGCAAGAGGAGTGGTTAGTAGCTTGCTTTCCTAACAGAATCGTGTTTATTTCATTATGCGCTCTGGTAAAAGTTCACTGGTATTCCCTAGCTACCTGGGCAGAGGCGGAGGAAGAAGGAAATGGACATAATTTTTATAAAGTAATTTAAAAAGCAAAAGACAAAGAGATAACAGCAGAGTAAGTGATAAGTAAAACTAAGAAGGAATAAGATCAATATTATTAGTTAATACAGTAAGAACAAGCATACTAAATTATCCCAATAAAGACAGAGATGTCACGTAGAGTTAAAATGTAAGCCTACCCAAATGTTATATTTGAGAAACACAGTTGAAATATAGTGATACAGAATGCTTGGCAATAAAGTGATAAGTGAAGAATATCCAGTAATGATAATAATAAAACAGGCGTGGTCATTTTTGTCGCTCCCCCTCTTCGTGGAGGAACGACACTAAACCCTGCCTAGGCTTCATATCCGAGTCACGGCACCATTATGTCGCTCCCCGTCTTCGTGGAGGAACGACACAGGACCCTGCGCTGTTCTTTCGTCTGCTCGGCCCTTCCCGGGTTTGCTGCTGGTTCTTCCCGGGTTGGCTACTATCCCTTCCACCTCCGTGGAAGGGCGGTTCCCCCTGGCCACATTCCCCACTTCCGCGGGGGAGCAGCACACCGCCGGCCGGCTCTCTCGGGGGCTGCACAGGTGTTCCTTCAGATAGATGTTCCTGGTGCATGTTGTCTCTCTCCTCCTTTATAGTCCTCCTCTGCCAATCCCAACTCGGCTGCCCACACGCCGAGTACGCTGCTCTCCTCCAATCAGGAGCAGGATCAGCTCCTGGAGGTCAGCACTCAAGTTGGCAAGAGGCAGCTGCGTAGAAGCTGTTTTCTCCTCTCCCAGCGCCATATTGTGGGAGAGCAGATGCATAGAATAAGTCTTAATTCCAGTAATTTAGTCTAGTCCGAGTTGCTCCCAGTTGCTCCCCACAATTTTAATATTAAAAAATTAGATTTAAAAATTTTTCACACCTTAATTTTTTTAAAGATTTATTTATTTATTTGAAAGTCAGAGTTACGCGGGGGGGGGGGGGGGGAGAAAGGTCTTCCACCCACTGCTATGCCATAGTACTGGCCCCAGATTTAAAATTAAAAGCACTAGAACAGGGGTGGTGCTGTGGCATTGTGGGCAAAGCCGCTGTCTGCAGTGCTGCCATCCCATATGGACGCCGGTTCGTGTCCTGGCCGCTCCACTTCTGATCCAGCTCTCTGCTATGACCTGGAAAAGCAGTGGAAAATGGCACAAATGCTTGGGCCCCTGCACCCAAGGGGACACCCAGAAGAGGCTCCTGGCTCCTGGCTTTGGATAGGCGCAGCTCCGGCCCTTGCGGCCATTTGGGGAGTGAACCAGCGAATGGAAGACTTCTCTGTTTGTCCTTCTGTCTGTAATTCTGCCTCTCAAATAAATAAATCTAAAAAAAAAAAAAAGAGAGAGAGAGAGAGAGCACTAGAATAAGAAGGGATATTGTGATGAAAGTCATAGTTTAGAAAGAAGATAGGGGCCAGCGCTGTGACGTAGCAAATAAAGCCAATGCCTGCAGTACCCACATCCCATATGGGTGCCGGTTCAAGTCTCATTACAGCCACCCGGGGAGTGACCCAGCAGATGGAAGACCCCTTTCTCTCTCTCTCTCTCTCTCTGCCTCTGCCTCTCTGTAACTCTGCTTTTCAAATAAAATAAATAAATCTTTAAAAAAGAAAAAAAACGTAACTGTTGTGAACAAATCAAGACAAACCCATCCGTGAAATCAGGAGATGCTGAAAAAGTATCTGTTCTGGATACTTAGGCAGCCACTCTTAACTAAAATGCTAAATACAACTGAAATTGCTTAAACAGATAACAAAGTTGAACAATCAAGATCCAATATGGCTTAACATTGTAATAGGAACAGATATTATGGAATAAAAAAAACCCTAGATAATAAAAATCAAGAGTACAGTCTTGGGCTACCCCTGGGACCTAGGGCTGGGGAGAGAATCTTAACCAAAACAGGAAACCTGCTTGCTCTGCACAGAGACAGAGTCAACCACATGAACGACTGTGAGTCCTGTATGTATTACAGGTCTTCAACTCTACTGATCCTGCAAATATTTTCTTCCACAATTTATTTATCTACTGACTTTGTTTCTGGTATTGCTTGCCAAGAAACAGTAATAGAGAAATAAATTTAGAAAAGGGTATCTGCAATGCAGATGAAGAGGTAACTATCTGTAACACATGAAGAACTCTCACAGAATAAGGATAACCCAAGGAAAACGGCAAAGAATAGGAATACAGAACCCACGGAAGGTTCCCCTTTGCACAGAAATGTCTGAGAAATATGAATTTTGAAAAATCCATACATAGGGTTTTTTTCATAACATGCATTTCCTATGATTGGAATATTCTTCATATGCATGGATTTTAGTTTTTCACACAAAAATACACTTTAAAAAAAATTTTGTAATTTATTTGAAAGACAGAGTTACAGAGAAAGGTAGAAACAGAGAGAGAGGGGTCTTCCATCCGCTGGTTCACCCCCACCATGGCCACAACAGCTGGAGCTGTGCCGATCTGAAGCCAGGAGCCAGGAGCTTCTTCCAGGTCTTCCATGTGGGCGCAGGGGCCCAAGGACTTGGGCCATCTTCTACTGCTTTCCCAGGCCATAGCAGAGAGCTGGATCGGAAGTGGAGCGGCCGGGACTAGAACTGGCGTCTATATGAGATGCTGGTGCTCCAGGCCAGGGCTTTAACTCGCTGCGCCACAGTGCCAGCTCCAAAACAAACTTCTTTTTTAAAGAAAAAGATTTACTTTGTTTATTTGAAAGGCATAGTTACAGAAAGAGAGAAGGAGAGACAAAGAGAGGTGTTTCATATGCTGTTCACTCCCCAGATGGCTGCAATGGCTGGGGCTGGGCTCCAGGCCTGAGCCAGAAGCCTGGAACTTCTCCTGGGTCTCCCACGTGGGCGCAAGGGCCCAAGGACTTGGGCCATCTGCTGCTGCTTTCCCAGGCACATTAGCAGAGAGTTGGATCGGAAGTGGAGCAGCCTGAACTTGAACTGGTGCCTATGTGGGATGCAGTCCCCAGGGAGATATTTTCCTATTTGCTGGTTCACTACCCAGATGCCCACAATAGCCAAAGCTGGGGCCAGTGCCAAGTCAGGGGCCTGGAACTCCATCGGGGTGTCCCAGGTGAGCAGCAAGAACACAAGTACATGGCCATGATCTACTGCCTGCCCGGGTCCATTAGCAGAAACTGGATCAGAAGTGGAGCAGCTGGGATTCAATCCCAGGCACTCAGACGTGGGATGTTGGTGTCCCAAGCGGTGGTTTAACCTGCTGCACCAGAACACCGGCCCCTCCTCCACAAACCTTGTGAAGACCCCTCATATATAATTTAAGGTGAAACAATCCACCTTGCAACAGATTTTCCAATAGTGCCCCTTCACCCCCAGTCAAGATACTGGGGAAGGGTGGCAGCAGGCTGCGCCCCCTCCAGGAATGGTTATGATGGTCACTCAGGTCCCAGAATTGCTGAAGAACCACGGATGGAGGTGAGAATGAGGCTGTGCAAAGCTCCCCCAACTTGGAACCGCACCTCGGCACCTCTGGTGCCATCTTCAAAACCCCCAGGGAGCCAGGCTGCCGGTGCAGTGGAGCTGCCCTGACCCTTTGCTGCCTGGTCCAGCCTGAAGATCCAGCCTGAAGGGGACCGAGGCCGTCCTGGGACCCCCACTCCCACCACGTGCACCTTCCTGGTCACCGTCCCTAACACAGCTCCACCTTCAGATGTTACTCCCATACTGAGCGCCTGATTTCACCCCCAACATCAGCCCGAGTGTGTCATCTCCGAGACCCTACCAGCCCCACCCCCGTCCTCCCAAGGACCCAGCCCACGTCACTGGTCCTCCCGAGGGCTGCCAGCTTTCAGGGTGCCTGGGACCTCATTGCGCTGAACTTCTTATTCGTGGATGTCCCACTCCCACATGAGAACTTCTACCGAGTTGTCTTAAGGAGCAGCCAAAGAAAGCACAGCAAACAGCAAAACTGCATCCAGGAGAGCTTTTTATTTGTACGGAACGGTTTTAAAAATACAGAATAAAATAGCTTTATCTCTACTATTATTCACAACATCTGGTCCAAATATTACATATCTTTAAAATACTTAAACGTTTAATGAAGCCATGTTAGAAAAAACAATATGAAAATTCTTTTTTAAAAACTCCATAAAAGAATTACACATCTCAAAAAACAACCCCACCCCAAATACCCTCGGTATGCAAAATAAAAATAACAAACAAACAAACAAACGCCCGGGAAGGGATGTAGCCAAAGTCAGTCACAAAACCTCAAGGAAAACGGAGGCAGCCCCACGGTTTTCAGAACAGTATGGAGGTGTTGGACACGGGCCGTGGGGGACGCACAGGGAAGGTGGTCGTCTGGGCGGTCAGTGGGCTGGCGACGCTGGGGACATGAGAACGCTGGACGTGAGCGCCAAGGCGGCAGGATCCAGAGCACCCCCGGAAGGCTGGAGCCATTGGGGAGGCCGCTAACGTGCTGCACGCTCCCGTGGGTGGAAATGGACCACCCTGAGCGGCCTTGGACCAGTCAGGTTCTGACTGCAGGGGGTGGTGGTAGGAGCTGCCCTGTCCTCTGTGTCCAAAGCATAAGGTGACAGAAGACAACACGCAGCACGCAAAACCCAGACCTCTCCCCCGGAAAGCCAGCAGGTGCCCTCCTGGAGAAGCGAGCTCCGTGGAGGCCCAGGCAGGGGCCTGAGCTGGTGCACAGTAGGCACAGTGGGGTGCACACAGCTGACGACCAGCGACAGCTGGGCGAGCAGGCCCTCGGGGCAGCCACAGGGGTTCTGCAGTGCGCTGCCACAGCTCTTTCTGCACCTTCGGTCTGGCCCGGCCACTCCAGTGGCACTGACACTACGATCAGACTTGTCAACTTTAAAGTCGCTAGTACCAATATTTCAGCAGGGACACGAATGAAAGAGACAGCAAGTTTGCTCATGGTCATAGAATATACGTATGGGTAAATAAAGTATACACACATACTAGAGATTCATCAATGGAGAACTTCTATCATCACATGACATTGTCATGAAAATTATATCATTCCCTCCCTGGAAAACTGACTATTATCCTGGGTAGAAATGTTATTTTACTATATGGAAATACTGCAATATTCATGCATAAACCAAGTTGTCCTCATGAGTCAGTATTCTACAGTATAAAGCAAATCCTGGGTGTGAATTTGTTACCATGAAAATGGGAAACTTTCAGGACCCACACTGCTGGTTTCCAGCAGGCCTGGCAAAGCCTCTTGTCTTGCCTTGGTCAACCCCAAGAAGCTTACTAAGAGCTAACATCTGAAACCTTGTGAAGAAAGATTCTGAATGCCGATGTGTGCGTGAACCTAAGTTTAACCCCCTAATCCCAGTGAAGAGCCACTTCCCATTTGTCTGTGAACCAGATGTGGGACGCCTGCCCCCTCGTTTGACAGCATCTCCTCTCCCTCCTAACACTCCCTACTCTGCACGTCAGCATGCGCGACACAACGGCTCTCTCTTGGCGGCCTGTGCAGGTGGAAGGGAGGTGGTCACTGTGTAAACTGGAGAGAAAGCCCTGCGAGGGCATTCACATCCAAAATATTTGCCCATACCCTGTTGGTAAAGCCAGAGTGGCAGCACGCAGCCCCCCAATGCAGGCCGACCCCGAGAACGGGAAGCGTCACCCGCACAGGCCACACACGAATCTGTGCCCCCCCCCACAAGCCTTTCCTTCGGGTGTGTGCTGAAACCCATGCAGCAGCTGTCCCCCCAGTGACAGGCTTTCACTCGGCCACCATGGGCACTGCGTCCTACAGCGGTTTGCATGTGCGCATCTGCTGCACGTGCATGGTGAGTGACAAGGCACTGCGATCACTCAGGGCTGTGCACCAAGGACTGGACTCAAGAGGCCCACAGTCAGGCTGCCCTCTCTTCTCCAACTCCCCTCTACTTCCTCCTTCTTGCATGGAGGATTGGAACTTGGCTTCGTTGGAAAACTAAGGGCAGAAACCCTGATTCGGGCAGGAGGTGTGAGTGCAAAGATTCTCTCCCCTCGTGAGCGACTGCAGAGTGCCCTCCAACCCTCCCCACTGCCCAGAGTAGCAGAGCTGAAGCTCAGCCAGAAGTGGGTGCCTACGTGTCTGAGGGTCCCACTCTGAGGGCTCCCCCTGCAGAGGAGGGGCCTGGTCAAGAGCTGGAGGGAACTTGTGCCTGGATGAGCGATGCCGGTGATGCTTCCCTTGAATGCCTGGTCCTAATGCTCACCTACAGGGCCAGAACTCTAGAAACCTCTGGGGTGTCTGGCAGGTTCCCCCACCTTTCAGGGCTGAGAACTCCGAGATGCTGAGAAAAATACAAGCAGAGGGAACTGAGGGCAAGCTGCTACAGGGAGACCTTGAGGGCTGACCGAGAGAAGAGGGATGGAAACCGCTACCCAGCAAGCTTCCAAAATAACTGCACTGAACACACTGTGAAAACAAAATCAAAGCCGTACAAGATGAAATGCAATTTGCATCTAAGATCTTTACTTAATCTGCAGTAAGACTTGGCAGAACAACGCAGCGGCTCTGAGGCGTTCTCGAAGCCCGAAACTCGCAGGAACCAGGGGCTGCCGTGATGCAACCGAAGACTCGGCCCCGAGGTGACCCTGAGCCGGCCTGGGGGCTGGGGGCAGGTGACGCATTGGAGCGCCTGCTGCTGTCCGAAGCTCGGCCAGGTTAAGCGTGAGCCCGCGGGGCGAGGGCTCTTACTCGACCTCTCGGGTTTTCCTTTGGCTGAACAATTTCAAAGCCAAGCCCAGAGAAGCCATGCTATCAGAAGGGCTTTCTAGTGTCACAGATGGGAGCTCTCCTAACAGAGGAAGCCTGCCGGCTGTGTGTCCGCACAACTTGGAGGAGAATGGCTCTAACTACCCCCCCACCCCCGCCCTGCCCCAGCAACGCCAGGGTCACGGGCAGTCGAAGCCACGGCTGCCAGGAATGCCTTGCCACAGGGGAAGTTCAGGAATGAATTTACGGGGATGATGCACCATCCACTACGGTGGCTCCACGGGTGGCCGGGCCCAGCTTCCCTTCTTCACGAAGACAAATTCACATGTAACTCGACCCACGGTGTCTGGGCTCTGGTCCAGTAGTCAGTTTTGATAAATAGATTAGGCATTACAGTATTTACACTTTCATGGTATCAAGCAATACAAAACACAACCACAACAATGGTTACTGGCCTTCAGAAGCCATTACAGAAAGCTTCCCTGATGGTGTCCACAGCTTTACAAATGCTGGTTCTTTTCTTGACGGGGGTGGGATGGGGGCAACAAGTAACAGGGAGAGGGTCACATGGAAAAAACACTGATTTCGAAAATCTGCTATAGCCAACAACATTAAATAGGGAGAAAACCTCGCAATCACAGACGCGCGCAACAGGAATACCCCCGTGACAGCAGAGCCAGGATCTGAGTGGTGCCTGTGTGTGGCACCCTACACCCAGCACGTCAGCCCGTGGTGACAAATGTCCGATAGGGTGTCTCGGCCACAGAAAGGGGCCAGCAGGCAACATGCTGGCCCAGAAGAGGTCGGGGTGGCAGGCAGAGAAAGGGCAACTGAGAATCCTATGGACTTTGGGGGTCTTTCTCTCCAATCCCCTCCAAAAGCATCCCATCTATTAACAAATGTCCAGACCCTACTCATGCCCACACCCGGGCATGGGGCAGCCTCGCTGCTGTGTTTGATCAGCTCAACAGCCTCCTCCTAGGGTGTGCAGGGACAACGGCACTACCCCGCCAAGCTGTTGTGACAGTGTGAGGACGTGGGCCAGAGGAGGGCTCTGCAGGTGCAGGCTGAGGTCAAGTGGAAAGGCAGCCAGTCCAGGTGCTTCCAAGACAGAGGGCGTCTGGGCCCTGGACATGGATGCCGACACGGACACGGACAGTGGGACAGCCAGTGCTGGATGGGGGAAGGGGACTGCCACGAGGAACACCCACTCCCACAGGAGGGCCGCGACATCAAGTTCAGTGACCATGGCCAGCAGTGGACACTCTCAAAGGGCAAGGGGTCAAGGGCTTAAATAAGGGGCCAGGTGAGACACCGTATGGGACAGGTCACCACCTACCAGAGAAGCGTGGTGCAACCTGTCTTAGCTCTGGGGTGCAGACTGTAAATGCAGATATACAAACAGAGATTTTACTTCTTGTTACTCGTCAAGGAACTACAGGGACAAGCCTCGCTGTGGCCGGGCCACAGGGTGCAGCTGGGGCTATACCGTGGCCCGCGAGGCTTCGTCTGAACTCCGGCTGGCGTCGCTCTTCCTGAAGACTTTCCACGTGTAGCCTGCGAAGGTGGGGCTGATGGGTAAGTAGCTGAAGCATCTGTACTTTTTAATAATGTTCATGCCAAATGGCAAATTGTAGGATTCCATGCCATCCAGGGACTTGTTCCCTTTGCTCACGCCCTTCTTCCATTTCCTGATCCCTCTCTCTTCTGGGGTACCTGCCGCACACACACGAGGAAACGCGTGGTTGAACAGTGCGTCTGAGAACGAGGCTTGTGTTCACGTACACTGATGTGCGGCAGCTCTCGGCTACTGTGACAGCGAAGGCCGATGAAGAGGCCTCGGAGCCGAAGGGGCTCAGGCGTGCAAGCCAGTCACCCACAAACCAGTCACCCTCAAACCACTCGTGCAAACCAGTCACCCACAAACCAGTCACCCTCCTTGTTCCTCTGGTTCCGTGTTCTAGGGGCCTCCTGATGGCTTCCCCTCCCCTGACCTCGCATGCGACCCCTGCTCTCTGCTGTCATCGCTGAGTTCTGGCCCAGGCTACGCTCTAGCCTTCCTCAGTGTCCCAACTGGTCACCTTGTCTTCCACTTCACCATCACCAGTCCCAAATGTGTTCTCAAATAATGAGCAGAAGATATCTCTTGAAAATGCCAATCTGAGTTTGCAAGATGGGTCTGGTGTCTTTATCACACCATGTTGTGCTTTCATTGGCTGCATCCTACCCACTCAGCCCCATCCAGCTATCCCTAAGTCATAGACTGCTTTGCCCCGTGTGTGTGTGTGTGTGTGTGTGTGTGTACACACACGTACCACCTCTGGCCTGGGTGGGTCACACTCCAGTGAGGATGAATTCCCGCTGGTACATAACCCCTGGCTTTTTTGTGCTCTGATGGATGAACCAGGAGGATGATGGGGGCACCCAGGGCTCACCCCCTGGGCTGCTTCCCCCGGGTCTCCCAGGAGAACAGGAGAAGAGATGTGGGCATCTGCGCTGGGCCGCATGGGACACCCAACACCTTTTTCTGCCCAAGCCTGGGGAGAGCTTGATTCTACAGCGTGGTACTTAGGAAGAGCAAGACCTTTTAAAACCTGATCTGTGTCCCAACATTGCCATTTCAGCAAAAAGGCTGATTCAATGTGCATCTGCTTGAGCCCTGCATCCCTCTCTCAATTGGCTCTGATGGGTCAGGTGGAGGGCGCCAGTCATGGACTCTCTTGGATCTAATACTGCCCATCCATTACTAGTGATGTGGTTCCTTCTGCCTGGCCTGCCTCCTCCCAGGTTCCCCAGCAACCCCTGGATCCAGGCTTTTTGGAGGTGGGTTGTTTTCAGACGAAAACAGCCCTCACCCAGGTTCAGCACAGGACACACCCTTCAGCCAGGGTCATGGGAGCGGGAAGGCCTGCTCTATGCATCTCTTGTCACTGACTCTGGCCTCACTGACTTCAGCCTTTGCCTGCTGTCCCGTGGTCCTAGTTGGCTGGAAGCCCACTGCAGGAATGAATGACTCATTGATCAGATTAGAGGGTCGTGTGAATGAGTCAACCACAGCCACACTACAGTGCCCTGGGCCCTGACCGTGATGGAGGCAGGAGCCTGGGGTGCGCCCAAGGCACCCCACTGGCTGCACAGGAACCACCTGGTGTCTCTTAGCAGCCAATCAGCAGGAGAAGCAAAGCTAACCAGTTTAGCAGCAAAAAAACTGATTTCTGTGGAGGCTGAGGGTGGCATTTCAGGCATTGGAGAAGACGGTTTTCACAGACTTCCTCTCCCCGACCTCCTCCATTTCTGCTTGTAAAATAAGGGAATGCACTGTGGGTGGACAGAGCGCGGGTGACACAGGCCACCTACCTGGGATGGTGTTGTCCAGGATAAAAGCCACACAGCCGCCTACAAACATAGCGGTGGTGAGAAGGACGTTCAACACTTGATCGATTCCCGTTATCCCTAGAAAGAGAGCACAGCCATAAGGGACGTCGCTGTGGCACGGCGGCCTGCCCTGGGCCCGGAAAGCAGCAGTGGGTGCACCCGAGTCTGTCGGCGCAGTGCACGGAAGCACGAACTCCTCGGCTGCACGCAGGGGGACAAGTGGTTGCCAGGAACGAGGTGAATGCTCTGACTGCAGCCCTTGATGCCAAGGCTTCTCCACGAGGAAGGCTCCCCTCAGTATTGCATGGAAGAGGAACTGAAGAGTGACATCCACCCTTTAGTGAGCTATGAAGCCATGGGGGTATTGTGTGCAGATGGGGGAAAAAAAAAAACACAGAATAGGCCAGCGCTGCGGCTCACTAGGCTAATCCTCCGCCTTGCGGCGCCGGCACACCGGGTTCTAGTCCCGGTCGGGGCGCTAGATTCTGTCCTGGTTGCCCCTCTTCCAGGCCAGCTCTCTGCTGTGGCCAGGGAGTGCAGTGGAGGATGGCCCAGGTGCTTGGGCCCTGCACCTGCATGGGAGACCAGGAGAAGCACCTGGGTCCTGCCTTCGGATAGGCGCGGTGCGCCAGCCGCAGCACACCGGCCATTGGAGGGTGAACCAACGGCAAAAGGAAGACCTTTCTCTCTCTCTCTCTCTCTCACTGTCCACTCTGTCAAAAAAAAAAAAACAAAAAAACAAAAAAAAAACAAACCACACAAAGAATAAAAGATGGCTGTGGGAAGGTGAAGAAAAATTATCAAATGAATAGGGGCCAGCGCTGTGGCAGGTAAAGCCACTGCCTGCAGCGCCGGTGTCCCACATGGGCACGGGTTCGAGTCCTGGCTGCTCGACTTTCCATCCAGCTCTCTGCTATGGGCTGGGAAAGCAATAGAAGATGGTCCAAGTTCTTGGACCCTTGCACCTGTGTGGGAGACCAGGCGGAGGCTCCTGGCCCCTGGCTTTGGATTGGTATAGCTCCGGCTGGTGCGGCCAACTGGGGAGTGAACCAGTGGATGAAAGACCTCTCTCTGCCTCTCTGTAACTCTGCCTTTCAAATAAATAAATAAATCTTAAAAAAAAAAAAAAAAAGAAAGAAAGAAATGAATAGTAAGAACAACAAAAATATCTGGATCTGAATTTAAGAGCTTTAGGTATCCTGGGTTACTAACTAGAGCTTAGCTGGTTTTAATGGGGAGTAACTGGATTTAAAAGATGCCTCCTCCTGTGACGGTGATATATTAAAAAGTAGAAAGCAACAAGAATCTCCTTGTTACTAAGGAGTTCACTGGACATGGAAAACAGTTTGGCACAGCCTCAAAAAGGTAGACAGAATTACCTAACAAACCATCAATTCCAATCTGCGGCACTCACACGGGAGGACGGAACGTAGCTACTGAAACCATCTTGATGGCGATTTGTGAACTCGCCTGTGGACTGACACCCATCTGCAAGCCCAAGATGGACCCAGGGAGTGCTGCTTCCACAGTCATCCACGGGCCTTCTAGATACAGCGGCAGTGTGTGGCACCAGACATCCACATTCCTCAGCAGGGGTCAATCAAGGTGACAGCCGCTCGGCCTCTTTAGTCCTGTCCACACTGCCAACACCTGTCCTTTCTACGCTCCACTCAGTTCAAGTCTGTTGTTTTGTGCTGTCTGCTTGTGACACTGTTTCTTAAAATGGCCACCTGGTGTCGTGCTTAAGTCTCATGTTCTGAGGAGCAAGAAGGCTGTGATGTGCGAGACTCATGCAACCAGGTCAGTGCTGTGGCCTAGTGGGCTAAGCCTCTGCCTGTGGTGCTGGCATCCCCTATGGGTGCTGGTTCAAGTCCCGACTGCTCCTGCTCTATCCAGCACCTTGTTATGGCCTGGGAAAGCAGTAGAAGATGGCCCAAGTACTTAGGCCCTTGCACCCATGTGAGAGACCCGGAAGAAGCTCCTAGCTCCTGACTTCAAATTTGCCCAGCTCTGGCCATTGCAGCCATTTGGGGAGTGAACCAGCAGGTGGAAGACTTCTCTTTAACTCTGCCTCTTAAATAAATAAATAAATAAATCATAAAAAAAAATGAGTGACGCAATGAGCAGAAAGATAAGGGGACAGCCTATGCCAATATAATAAAACAAACCATCATTCTTTCTTAAAAAAAAAAAAAAAAAAGATTCAGACAACCACGAGTGATAGTTCTGTTGGCCTATTGATTTCCCCGTGGTTCGGTATTTGTAAGTCTACCTGTGGCAATGTCGGGGAGCCTACCCAGCATGAACAGACACTGCCGACTGCAGCTGTGCACCAGTATTCACAGCGGCCAAGAGATGGGAGCAGCCCCAGTCCCCACCAGCAGAGCAAAGGGTAAACCAATCAGGGCACACGCACACACTGGAATATTGTGTAATCATAAAAAGGAACGGAGTGCTCGCATAGTCAGCAGCACGGATGAATCTCGAAGACACTATACCAAGGAAGAGAAGCCAGACACCACCACAGGCCACGAGTCGTGTGGGCCCTAGACCAGGTGAATCCAGAGACTGAAAGCCGACCGGCGTCTGTGGGGCTGATGGAAGGGGATTTCCTGCTGACGAGCAGGGAGTTTCACGTGGGCTGGTGAAATGTTTTGGAAACCAGTGATGGGGCTGTACAGCACTGCTAGTGCAGTAAATGCCACTCAACTGCACGCTTTAAAACACCTCATTTTATGCGGCCTGAATTTCACTTTCGGACGAAAACACAAGTATAACGAAAACACAAGTGTGCATTTCCCAAGAAAAATTCAGTGGCATTAGCACTTTCTTGAGAAGGTTCCTCTTTTGTCCGTTCTTCGTAACACTATTAAAATAAAAGGTAAGAATTGGGGTGCAGCAGGTTAAGCTGCCACCTGCAGCCCACCAAGGAGCGCTGGCTTGAGTCCCGCTGCTCCACCTCCTATCCAACTGACTCCCTGCTAATGTGCCCAGGAAAGCAGTGGCAGATGGCCCAGGCGCTTGGGCCCCTGTACCCATGTGGGAGACCAGAAGTTCCCAGTCCTGGCTTCAACCTGGACCAGCCTCAGCCATTGCAGTCGTTTGGAGAGTGAATCAGCAGGCGGAAAAATCTGTCTCTCCCTCTCTGTCGCTCTGCCTTTCAAATAAAAGAATAAATCTTTAAAAAAATTTTAGGAGCCAGAGCTGTGGCATAGTGGGTAAAGCCGGCACTGCCCATATGGGTGCCAGTTTGAGACCAGGCTACTCCACTTCTGATCCAGCTCTCTGCTATGTCCTGGAAAGGCCGTAGAAGATGGCCCAAGTCCTTGGACCCCTGCACCCACGTTGGAGACCGGAAGAAGCTCCTGGCTCCTGGCTTCAGATTGGTGCAGCTCCAGCCATTGCGGCCAACTGGGGAGTGAGTGATCCAGTGGACCAAAGACCTCTCTCTCTCTCTCTCTCTCTCTCTCTCTCCGTCTCTCTGTGTGTAATTCTTTCAAGTAAATAAATAAATCTTTAAAAAAATTTTTAAACACTAAAAAGTAGGAATTCATAATGTTAATCTAGAATTGAAAGCTGCTATAATTCCAGTAGAAAAACATGCATTTCAAGGGCTATGAATATCAGTTTTAAGAAATTATACATCGTGTGGGGCCAGCACTGTGGTGTAGCAGGTAAAGCTGCCGCCTGCAACACCAGCATCCCATATGGGCACTGGTTCAAGTTTCCGCTTCTCTACTTCCGATCTAGCTCTCTGCTAATGCACCTGGGAAGGCAGTGAAAGATGACCTAAGTGCTTGGGCCTCTGCACCCATGCAGGAGACCCGGATGGAGTTCCTGTAGCTCCATGGTCCTCTCCTATGAGGAAGGAATTGTTTGTGGCTGCAAACCCCACCCCCCAACCCTGCCCAAGACTCCCGGCAGCTTCCCTTACCTGTGACAAGGGGGTTCTGTCTGAGGTAACTCGGAAGGACGAGCCCAAAGAAGATGGAAAATCCCAGCACAAAGAGGTTCCGGGAAGAATTTAAATCAATGAACTGCAGGTTAGAGAGGCCGACAGCTGTGATCATTCCTGGAGAGAAGAACAGCAGAGCACACAAGTTCTGAGTCCACCCCTGCAGGTTCCTCACCGCAGACTCCCCAAGCCCTTTCTCTGCCCACCAGGAGCAGGCTGGGAGCCCAGCGCAGGGGCAGCCAGGCGGTGGCGCTGGGGTGGCGGAACGCGGCCACCTCGGTCTCTGATCTGAATCTCTCTCTGCCTAAGCACGGACTTGGCCTTGGACAGCGGCATAAACATCACTCTCCGTTTCCCTTAGACCAAGCAGAAACTGAAACATTCTGATTAAACTGGGAAACCCACCCAGCTATTAGTGCAGGTCCCTGCTTCCTCTAACTGAACGGCTCAGAGATCCATTCCAGAGTCCCCTTGTGAAAATGGCCAGTTCTAAGTGGTCCACTCACAGATGGAGCCAGAGCCCAGCCAACCAGAGACTCTGATTCAGACAGACTAGGCTTTATCTTCGATAACTTCCATGGCACAATTATTCTTACTGCTGGTTCTACCATGAGCACAAATTCAACTCAGAATGATGTTGTTTCTGTAAGGAGAACCCTTTTGTGTTTTGAAAAAGACCTCAATCCCTATTAAAAACGAGTAAAGGTAAGGAAGGAAGTGGGTGGAGTTTTACCGAATAGGGTGCAGAAGAGGGCTCCAAGCACCGGGTCCGGCAGGGATGCGAAGAGGGCGCTGAACTTGCCGATCATGCCCAGGGCCAGCATGAGTGCTGCGCCGTACTGGATCACCCGGCGGCTGCCAACCTGTGGGACACGGCACAGCAGACACAGGCTCACCCGCCGTCCTGGGGGCGACTCTGAACTTCACACAACTGCTATCAACAACTAGGGAGACATCAGAGTAGAGCTGCCCACTCCCTGTCCTCACCCCTCCCTGGCCTCTCAGGGAGGTTGGCCACATCCTGGATGACACCACCTAAGTGCAGAAGCCTTGGTCTCCCGTGCTCTTACCAGGGCACTGGTGATGATGACCCCCCAGTGCCTCGGGTGCAGAAGCTGCACTCCTCTGCCTGCTTCTCTTCTGGGTTCCTCGTACCACATTTCACTACAACAGTTCACATCAGTTCAGTCTCGGGCCCGCCATCCCGGCACCGTCAGACAGGTCCCAACATCGCTGCACCCTGCTCTCCTCGTGGACAAGTGCCACGGAGTAGGGGTCAAAGAGAGCAGAGTTTTGGAGTCTGCTGCAGCAGCGTACCTCACTCCACCTCTGAGAGTGGGATCGCGCACGGTGCTTCCACCCCTCTGGGCCCCAGAATCCACACCTCCGTCAGAGATGAACTGTGCGGTTTTGCTCCCAGGTAAAAGACACCGCACTTGAAATATCCAGAAGGTGGGGCTGGCAAGCCCTCCCTCCCACCTGGGCGTGCTGCCTCTGGCATCTCCCCTCGGCCTCTCTCCTGGCACGGAGCGGCCTTGGGTCAGCCTTTGTTTAAATCCCCTGGTACCATGATATAAAATCCACTTCTCAGGTTCTTTCCAGCAAAGCCACACCTGCCTCGTCCTGGCCCCAGTTCTTCTGAGGGCTCAGCTCCTGCCCCACAGGCACGCCCGGGCCCGTTGCCCTGAATCCCCTTCCGTCGAGTTCCCAGGGATTCCCTATAGAACACAACCCAACACCACCTCCTGGGAGATGCCTTCCGCAAGTCCAGGACAGCTCCCCGGCCTGGGCTTCTGCTGCACTGCAGAGAGCACCTGCCACAGGGTCTCAGCCTTGTCTGCTGAACCTGGTCTCTACCTTCTAGCAGCTTTCCTTCTAGCCTGCTGTCACCCAGGGAGTGGAAGGTGGAGCTGGCATCTGGCCCAAGAATTCTGTGCTGCTGACCCCTACTCTGTGTGCTGCCTCCCCCCAGAAAATACCCTGCACAAAAAGGTTCCAGAAACGCTAGGGGGCATGTCCACTGGGCTCTCTGTGGGGAGGGAGGGGGTTGGGAACATAGCTACTTAGGTTAATGAAAATGAAATGAATTTTAAAATTCAGAGCCTCCCTTGCACTGTCTACACTGCAAGGGCTCAGGAGGCAGATGTGGCTGGAGGTGACCCTGCGGACGCCTCCAGTGTGGAACACTGCACAAACTTCTGCCGGATGGTGCAGGTCTGAAGCTGCCAACAGCTTCTCAGAGGCTCCGAGGGTCAGCTCGCTGGGCGTCACAGCCAAATGTTCACTGTACCAATGAAGAGGCTAACCCCTACTTCCTCAGTCCAGTCCCACCCCACGCCACAAAGGGCAGGGAAGCAGCAGGAAAATGCACGCAGATTGGTGAAAACAAGCAAAAATGACTCACGCATGGCTGTGACCACAGAGTAAGGAAGACTTTCATTTACAAACAGCTCATTTCACAGCAAATGCTTCCCAGGACCTACTGTGTGACCAGCGCCAGCACGGATGCATGGAGGAGAACGTCACAGGCCTGGGACAAACAACTGCCCCATCGCGCTGTCTGCTTCCCCAGCAGCAGCAAAGAGAAAACCCGAGTTGTGAAGTGGAGTTGGTGATGGCCTAGAGGGATGAGTGAGAGCTCACCCCAGCTGGGGCAGGGCGGAGAAACCTGGGCAAAGACCCCCAGCAGGGCCAGGCAGCCCCTCAGGGGTGAGGCAAGAAAAATACAACAATAAAGCCTGCGGGAAAGCCACACTTGTCAAAAAAGAAAGAAAGAATAAAGGGAAGCAGCACCCAAGCCATCCTGCTGTTCTAGTCATATGAACCATTACAGGCTTTTGCTACAAACACCACAAATTCCGCCCTGAGACCCCTGCCTTCCTGGTCTTATGTCTCCTCCCATGTTGCCTACTCCCTGGAATGTCCTCCACATGTCCCTTCTGACCCATGGCCCTGCCTCCTGGCCCCTCAAAACCTTGGTCCCAGGGGTAAGATTAGGGTGAGGCAAGTTGGGCCACCACTTGGGATGCCTGCAGTCCTTATCCAGTGCCGGGTTCAAGTCCTGGCTACTCCACTTCTGATCCAGCTGTCTGCTGGTGCAAGTCCAAAGCAGCAGCAGATGTTGGCTCAAGTGCTTGGGTCCCTGCCATCCACATGGGACCCCCAGATGGAGTTCTGGACTCCTGGCTTCGGCCTGGTCCAGCCCTGCCTGTTGTGGGCATTTGAAGAGTGAACACTGCCTTTCCAATAAGTAAAATTAAAAGAAACATTGGTCCTGTATTTCTGTCTTTGCCAAGTCTTCAACAGCATGTGCAGCAAAGAGAAGGGAGCTTCCCTGTATACCACCAGGAGACACTTAACAGTTAGGGAGACAAGATTCATTCTGTTCCTCAAATAAACTGAGGGCCGATGCCACGACGATGGTACTTACAGCCCACTGTGTACCTACCACAGGCTATGCTGTTATTACCTCCAACACCTTGCAAGTTACCTTTACAGACAAGGGCCCAGAGACTTGAAGAGGTGAGACAACTTGCCTACAGTTGTGGTCACGTGGCAAACTACCAGAGTCAGGGCCGGAGTCCAAAGCAGCTGCCCTCCCGCACCTGGCACCCTGCCCCCTCTCTGTAGGACAGACACTAGAATGCCTCTGCATGGAATGGAAGTCCAGCATGTTGGATCCAACTCCTGGAACTTCAGAACACACTGGGGTAGGTAACCCCAACCCTGGATTAAGCAGGTCAGAAACACAGAGGATATAACTGCCGGATAGCGGATGGCGAGCATCAGAGACGCCTGGCAATGGAGGCAGATTCTGCAGGAGGCTTGGCCTGCCCTGCAAGTGTCTGGTACGTGGCTCAGACCACTGCTATCCAGTGGAACTTTATATGATCTCTGCACTGTCCACTGGTACCCATGAAGCCATCTATGATGACTGAGTCCTTGACATGTGGCCAGGGCAAACAGGAACTAAATTCCTAATTTCAATGTAAACCTAGCTGCACACAGCGGCTGACTACCCTGCATCCAAAGGACTGAGCTCTGGAATCGCAGGACTGCAGAGCTGAGCCCCACCCAGGGTGACTTCCCCCGAGTGCTTCGGGTGTATGAGAGGTGGACATGGCGAGAACCCATGTTTCCTCTCTTCTAGGCAGGGGCCTTCCCGCCAGCCACGGGGCTCAAGTCACTGGGAGATTTCTGCTACGCATCTCACTTCCCCACTCCAAGGCAGCTATCAGGGTGGACTCAATTAAACCATGTTTCTCGTGGAACCTAGTCTTGTGATTCAGGGCAGGGCAAAGCGGATTCCAGGGCTGACACTTTACCCTGGACTGGATGCTGGGGAAGTGGCTCCAAAGGAACTCAGAGGGGAGATCAAGGAGCTCATTAAAAAGTGCTGGCAGGGGGCCTGTGCTGAATAAGCGGGCATCACTCAAACTTTAATAAAGATAATTATATCCCAACCCAGCTTGGTCATGTTTTAGCAGTAAACTTTAAGGAGCTTAGTTCCTTCAGTGACCTTGTAGTGACCTTGGCTAAATTAAGGGATATGTTTTGATGGCTGCAGAAAGAGAGGCAGCTTATTAAACGGTTCCCCCTCAGCATCCGCCCTTCTGCTCTCTTGTGTGGGATTAGTTTTGTGCCTACCAGCTCATGGCTCGAGTGGCAAGGCTTGTGTTCCATCAGACCCTTCTCTAAGCTCCCTGTTCTCACTATGGCCACCCAAGAGGACCCAAGGGATGGCCCTCGCGCACCTGCCAAGTGCAGGGAGCAACAGGCAGCAGATGGGGCTGTCAGCTCACCTAAAACTGAGCTCTGGGCCCAGCCCGGCCAACTCAGGCACAAACCAACAAACAAGTCAGGCGTGTACCTTCCAGACACGCGCTGCTCCCTCTCACCTGAATTTGTAATCAAGATTAACCAAACTCAGTATCTGGTTTCTTTTTATCTGGTTACAGAATCTCACAGGAAGCTGGGCGGCAGGGGGAGGGGAGGGCTATTTCTTTGGAAATTCACCCACCCCATCTCCTGCCTATCTTACAATGGTCGCACAGCTGCAGGCAGCTTCTGGGCTCTGTTGCATGGTGCACAGTGGCCGGTGGGTCAGGTTGTATTCTTCAATGCCCCGCCCGAGGCGACTGGGATATAGTTTTCTTTCTGGTAGCAAAAGCCCAAGGGCCTGGGCCATGCTTCTTATGGAGCCTGGGTTTTCGGGGTGAGGCAGTGCAAGGTGCAGCTAGGTGAGGAGGGCAGGATCTCAGGGCTTCCCCCGACATGATTCATTGGGACTTGGTTCACCCACTACTCTACATCAATTTTTACTTGAAAGACAAAGGGCTGCTAAGGTTTGAAGATTGTGTTAATTCTTCCATGGAAGACTGACTTTTTTCCTGTGTGTAGTGGAGACCCTCATCTCTGATCTGGAACTACTGATAACACAGCTGGTCACCCCAACCTGATTGGCACCTCGCACACTGAGTCAAAGCTGGCATGACCTGGTCCTCACACCTGGCAGACCTCCCCTGCTCCTCCTCGCTCCCTGCCCACTGGCCTTGGTGCTGACCTCCCACGCCCAGCGTGGCACTGCACCGGGCCAGGGCCCCTCTGGAATGCTCCTCCCCTGGTTACCTGCAGCTTCCTCCCTCCATGCTACAGGCTTTTGTTCAAGGTCACAGTCTCACTGACACCTGGCCCTCCAGTTGCTCTCATTCTGCCCCAGGTTTTCGCTCAGGACTTTGCACGTCTGACACACTGAAAGGTTTCCTGACCTGTAATGCTGACTGTTGCTTTTTGTCTCCCCCTGTTAGAATGTAAACTCCGTTCTTTTACTCACTGGTGTGTCCCAAGTCCCTGGAACAACAGCCTGGCACAGGTGCGGTGCTGCTCAGTGCTTGGAAGGTGTAGGAAGGAATGACAGCCCCTGAGTGCCTCCTGAGCCTGGCCAGCCTGGAGAGGGGAGGCCTCCAGGCAGACATTGCAAATACCCATCAAAGAGAAAATAGGAGACGGGGAGAAGATCTTGGAATTGGAGGCCCTTCCTTTTGGAACCCACAGCGGTCAGAGCAATCGGTGAAATGGATCAATGTTTAGAGGCCCGACCAGGTAATTAGGAAAACATCTGTACCTTCGTAATTCCCAAAACTCCAATGTTGGGACTGGACGAGGTAGAGCCATTCCCAGTACCAAATATGCCATCGAGAACACAGGAGAGACCCTCCACGAAAATCCCCCTAAAATGTAAAGGAAAGGGGGAGGGAGAAACATACATTCAATGGCAAAACACTCTGAAACAGGCTCTGAACATTTGCAACCCAAAGATGTAGACCTTGGACCTGCAGCTCCTGCACCCGCTTGGGGGACAGGAATGGGGGGAGGCTTGGCCATGCAGAGTCTGGGGCCACAGCCCAGACCTGCTGCAGCAGGACCCTTGCTCCCACAGGATGCCCGGGGCTCATCCAATTGGGAGAGGCAGCTCTATAAATCACACATCAGATAGTGTTTTAAAATCATTCCAAATGAAAAATAAGAACAAACAAACCAAAACAGCAAGGATTTGGGCCAGAAAACGAAGCCACTGGCTGGGATGTGAGACTGACACACACCTTCCCTAGAAACAAAACATAATTGATCCCTCACTAGAGAAACCCTTCAGCAGGAAGGAAGTGTTCTGCTAAGTTTACAAACACTGAGATTCTGACGAGAACCACATGCAGTAGCTCTGGCAGAGAAAGACGCAGAGTCTGAAAACCTCCACAGGGAACCAACGCCGGCCACGCTAAGAGCCTGCCCTCGGGCCCTCCTGCAGGGGCGGCAGTGGGCTGGGGAATGGCGGTGATGTGGGCTGTGTTCTAGATCCTGCAGCCATCTGAGCATCAACTCCCTACCGACTTCCAGGAGCTAAGGACCGCGTCTCTGCAGAGCGTCAACCCCACGGGTCAGAAACCTCTAGGTCCTGGGGACTTGCCTGGCCCCTGGTCTTCCTGTCCCTGTGTTTCCAGTGCAGCACTGTGAGTGGATTACACAGCTCCTAACCTTGAGAACAGTTGGGCTACCTGTACTTGACCGACCTGGGGTGGTCCTGCCTGCCCTAAGGCTCCCACGACAGACGGGAGAGAAAAGCACCCTGGCGCTGGTGCTGTCTCGCTGTGGCAGATAACACTGAATGGAGGGATAAAGGAGGGAAAGGGGGAACTTGTGCAACTCAGAAACAATCCTGTAGACAGGGAAGAACCTCTTTAACACCCGAGAGACTAAATTTCCATGGAGAAAAAAACAGTTGGGGAAACAGGACAACTGAAAATCAAAGCAGATTTAGTTATTATCAAAGTGACCCAAAACCTCGCAGAGAACAAGGCTGACACATGGCAGGTGCAGGGGCGAGGCAGGTCCTCTTAGAGGCTGGGCTTCTGGCCGGGACTTGTCAAACACACCCACTGCTCACTGCCTCCACGTGGAAGCTCTTGCTTTCTTCTCTGAGATCCACTCTAAAGCTCCCAGAGGGATACACGCTGGGCCTGAGGCGGGCCTCGTCTTCTGGGGGACGTACCTGTTGATGGCGTGGATGGGAGGCGGTGGAGCACAGGACAGCCTGGCGCAGGCGTAGTAGTCACCAATGGACTCGATGATACTGGCCACCACAGCGCTGAGCATACCAATGACGCCGGCCGCAGAGACGGTGGGCAGGCCCCACTGGACTGAGGAGGGAAGCCAACCGTGAGAACGCCAGGGGGGCAGACAAAGGGGCACCAGGCCCTCAAGCTCTTGGAGGGCTGAGGACTACAAGATCCACTTGCATTCTGAAGCGTGTGGAATCTGATAACAGATCTGAATCCAGTGCATCAGGTACCTGGGGACAGCAGTGACTAAGTCAGGGCCCAGTGAGGAACACCATCCCCTATGTCTTTAAAAGAAAAAATTCCCGGGGCTGGCGCTGTGCCGCAGCAGGTTAAACCACCGTCTGCAATGCTAGCATCCCACGTGGGCACCAGCTTGAGTCCTGGCCAGTCTACTTCCAATCCAGCTCCCTGCTAATGTGCCTGGGAAAGAATGGAAGATGTCCCAAGTGCTTAGGCCCCAGCACCCAGGTGGGAGACCTGGATGAAGCTCTTGGCTCCTGGTTTCAGTCTGGCCCAACCCTGGTAGTTGCAGCCATCTAAGGAGTGAACCAGCAGATGGAAGATCTATCTCTCTCTCTCTCTCTCTCTGTCGCTCCCTTTCTTGCTGCATGAAACTCTTTCAAATAAATAATCTTAAAAAAAAAAAAAAAAGGAAAGAAAAAAATGGCTAGGAAAAGTTGCTTCTCTACGTGCTTCAAACTCGTGCTCATTGTCTACTACTAAATGACAACCTGACACGGCCTGCTGGGATGGGATGGAAGCCTGTAGCAGAGGGACTGACAGCCCTGCTGTAGACGGCTGCTGCAAAATGCTACTGCTCTTGCCCATGGGGTGGCATCAAACAGATAAACAGTGAAAATTCCCCAGCTGAATTTAAATCCCAGTAGCAAAGCATGCACAAGGTAGGACGGACTCACCCCAACATACTGACAGCACTTACACACACACACACACAAAAACCCCATGTTATGGAAAATCACAGTTTCATTTTAAATGGCAAAGAAAAGTCCCACTATAGTTTCATCCTTCTTCTTCTTCTTCTTTTTTTTTTTGACAGGCAGAGTTAAACAGTGAGAGAGGCAGAGAGAAAGGTTTTCCTTCCGTTGGTTCACCCCACAAATGGCTGCTACAGCCCACCGATCTGAAGCCAGGAGCCAGGTGCTTCCTCCTGGTCTCCCATGTGGGCGCAGGGCCCAAGGACTTGGGCCATCCTCCACTGCCTTCCCGGGCCACAACAGGGACCTGGACTGGAAGAGGAGCAACCAGAACAGAATCTGGCACCCCAACCGGGACTAGAACCTGGTGTGCCAGCGCCACAGGCGGAGGATTAGCCTAGTGAGCCGTGGCGCCGGCCTGTAGTTTCATTCTGAGTATCTGAATTTACTTAATTCTTCATAAAATGAATTTCTTTATAAGTCAATTAATGTGGACATTGGAAGCCACTGATCTTATGTAATAAAAATAGCACGAGTTTCTTTCATGCTTAGAACAAACTCTTGATGAAATAGCCGGCCTTCTTCCCTTGAGCCCCTGGTTCTACCCCAGCCACCAGGCTAAGGCAGCAGAGACAAGGATGATGGTTGGCAGAGGTCTCCCAGGCAGTGGCCAGCGATGCAGCTCGGGGCACAGGCCACCTGAAAGAGCTAGGAGCCCTGTGACTGGCTGTACTCCAGAGCGAGAGCCATGCTGGGGCAGGGTAAGGGTATGTGAGGATGTCAGTCCCAGTCCAGGGAGGGAATCGTGGAGGAGATGGAGATGGGGGGTACCCTTTGAAGGATGGGGAGGCCCTCCCTGGGGCACAGAATAGGGGAGGGGTGCGGGCAAGTCTAGGACTGGCCCAATAGCCACCAGCAGGGGCTTGGCCTTTGTGGCCTAGGTAACAGGGGGCAACTATAGGTTTGCAAAGAGAAAGAGGATGTGCAGCCTATGACTGGAGGGACAGGGAACAACTGCTCCTGCCCAGGGCTAGCTTGCTCTGTGGGTGTGGCTGGGGCTCCAGGCATGGTTCCTGCAGCAGGGGCTCACTCCACCTGCACCCAGTGGAAACATGACTGGCCAGCACCCCTCTCTGGGGTGGTTTGGAAAGGACTTTTTTCATTCCAAGGTTTTCTTCATCAAGTAGTATTTTGAATTTTCTAAAGAACCTTTTATACTATTACATACGTTGTTACTGTTATAGCATTGTGGCTTCATTTCCCTGTCTTGAGTTTGATGGGACGTTCTTATCTTGCTGCAAACAAAGTTGAGTGTCCCTAATCTGAAAATCTGAAATGTTCTAAAATCTGAACTTTGATCACCAACATGAAGCCACAAGCGGAAAATTCCACATCGGCAGTCATGTGACAGGTCACGGTTAAAACACAGGCTCACTAAAAATCATGTATAAAACCACCTTCAGGCCAGGTATATAAGGTAGATAAGAAACATGAATGACTTTTTGGTGCCGAGTTCTAGTCTCAGTTGCTCCTCTTCCAGTCCAGCTCTCTGCTGTGGCCTGGGAAGGCAGCGGAGGATGGCCCAAGTGCTTGGGCCAATGCACCTGCATGGGAGACCAGAAGGAAGCACCTGGCTCCTGGCTTCAGATTGGCGTAGCTGTGGCCATTTTGGGGGTGAACCAACGGAAGGAAGACCTTTCTCTCTCTCTCTCTCTCTCACTCTCTAACTCTGTCAAATAACATTTAAAAAAAAATAAAAAGAAAAAAGAAAGATAAATGACTTTTGTGTTTAGACTTGGTTCCCATCCCTAAGATAACTACATAGATGCAAATATTTTAAAACCTGTGGAAAAAAATCCAAGATCTGACACACTTCTGGTCCTAAGCATCTCAGTTTCCAATATTCTCCATTTCTTTATTATTATTCCTTTCTTCCTCCAAAATTATTTAAGAGGCAGAGATAGACAGAGGGGGATGCAGGCAGAGACAGACATAGCTGGCAAGCTCCCATCTGCTGGTTCACTCCTCAAATGTCCACAATGGCCGAGTCTGGGCTGAGGTGAAGTCAGGAGCCAGGAATTTAGTCCATGTCTCCCATGTGGATGGCAAGAGCCCAATCATTTGAGCCACCACTGCCATCTCTCAGGGTCTATGTTGGCAGGAAGCTGGAATCAAAATCCAGAGATGGGGCTCGAACCCAGGTACAGTGATATGGAATGCAGGGCTCTTATCTGTAAGGCAAACACTTGCCACCAGTGCCTTTTTTCCCCTTTTATCTGAAGTTCTGAATGTTGATTTCTAAAATCTTTGTTCCATGGACATCGACATTTTAAATTTGTAATGTTAATTTTGGATCCATTCTCCATGTGTGTGTGTACACGTATGTAAACATATGTATTTAGAGCCTTGCTGGTGTCCAGCCTTCTGTCTTAAATCTGTTAACGTGTCTCTCCTTTTAACTAGAACCCTTATTTGTGTGTTACTTTACTGCGGAGTTTCTCAAACTGCACACTGCTGACATTACAGATGAGAAGCACACATATTCACAGTCAGTCCGGATACACCTGTCCCCGGATGAAGCCAGACCAGGAGAGGATACACAGAGCTACCTCTCTGCAGGTGTTGTTCATGGGGCGGAGCTTCGGAACTACAGCAGCTCACAAACGACAGCAGCGCTTGCCGGCTCCCAGTCACACTGAGTGTCCTCTGCGCTAAGTCCCGCCCCTTGTGCCTGGGCTCCGGAGGCCCCTGGAGAAACACAGGAGCAGCTGTGGGGCCGCCTCCTCCCTGGCCCCCACCTCTCCTCTTCAGCCTCACCATGGGATCCTTAATCTCAATTTATTTAGGATTACAAGGTATGTTTATAAACTGTGCACATTCTTTTTTGGAAACAGGATACTGAGACATGATCTTGATGGGAACGCCGTTTCAGGAAGACTAAGCTTTGTAAAGCTTTTTTAAGTGTATTGAGTACAAGACGGACAAGTGCCAAAATCCTCTTCATTCAGCATTCAACATCCTCATCATCAGGGCAGTCACCTCTGACCCAACCTTAGTATTCTAGGCTTTGCTTGCCTTTTCTCCTTGTCAATATAAAATATGAAAGTGAGACAGCTAACGAGGGGCATAAGTGGGCCCACCCTAAGCTCAGACTTCAATTCTAACAAAAATCCTGAATGCTGAGCCGGCGCCGCAGCTCACTAGGCTAATCCTCGGCCTTGTGGCACCGGCACCCCGGGTTCTAGTCCCGGTCGGGGCGCCGGATTATTTCCTGGTTGCCCCTCTTCCATGCCAGCTCTCTGCTGTGGCCAGGGAGTGCAGTGGAGGATGGCCCAAGTCCTTGGGCCCTGCACCCCATGGGAGACCAGGATAAGTACTTGGCTCCTGCCATCGAATCAGCGCGGTGCGCCGGCCGCAGCACGCCGGCGGCGGCCATTGGAGGGTGAACCAATGGCAAAGGAAGACCTTTCTCTCTGTCTCTCTCCCTGTAAACTCTGCCTGTTAAAAAAAAAAAAAAAAACAAATGCTGAGAACTGAGGCTTCACCATGGAGTGACTGGGCATGGACACCTCTGTGTTCCTCTACACTGTTTTCGGGGTTGGGATCTAGGAAGAGGCACACATGGGTCGGGTGCTGGTTCCGCTAGGGATCAAGTTCTCTCCCCCAGTGAGTTGCCCAACACTCGCATTCTAACTTAAGCTCCGTCTTCCGGCTCTGTGTGGGTATCCGTTTACCTCCACAGCTGTGGCAAGGTTAAAACAATTATGGCCACCCATTAAAAGATTAGGAAAATTCCGCCATGCTTGGGCAGCTTGCTGGCTAATTGCCCCGGCCCCGCCCACTCACACCTGTGTGCCTTGGCAGGTCTGGGCCCTGGCAGCTCTTCCCCTGCTTTCTTGGGGACTGCCCTCCAGTCCTGGCCAGCACAGCTCCCAGCTGGCAGGGGAGCCCCTGTCCAGACCTCATCCTAGCAGAGCCTGAAGGCCAGCGGCTCGGGGAAGAAGCGAGCTGGCTGGTCTGTGTGTGGTCACCACTGTCCTCAGGGGACAAAGCTCTCCTCCTTTGCTCTGCAGCTCTCTAATGACCAGAAGCGTGAGAGCTGCAAGAGACAGCCTGGGACAGAGACGGCGCTTCCTGCTGCAGACTTCTGCCAACCTGCAGGGCCTCCGTGCGGGGCAAGCCCGGGATCCCAACCCCTGTGGCCAGCAGGATACTTACATGGGTACGGAACCTTAAACCACGGGGCCACCAGAAGTACGCCCTGCCTGGCGTCAGTGCGGGCATAGAAGCCGTACTTGGTGCTGTCGGGTGGGAAGACGTCTGTCACCGTGAAGATGAAGCAGAGCAGCCAGGACACAAGGATGGCCAGGATTATCTAAAGGGGTCAAGGGAGAAGTTCTGTCAGGCCCATGGAGCCAGTGGCTGCTGGCCACGCCCACGACCTCCGACCACACGCCCAGCCCAGCCCAGCCTAGCCCAGCCTAGCGCCCTCCACTGGCAGTGCTCGGCACGGCTGCTCCGTGGATGGAATCGCACTGAGAAAGTTGTCTCCCACGTCTGAACCGACTGCGATCTTCCAAGAGCTGGCTGGTAAGCTACTGCGGAGACGGTGCCTGCTGGGACCACACGCAGTCGGACCCCACTCAGCCCCAGGGACAGGGCCCTTGCTTTCTCCAGTCCTGCTCCCGTTTCCAACCTGGAGCCTTCCAAAGCTTCTGAACTTCACAGGCCACGACAAGTTGGGTGGCCGTCAGCTCCCCAAGGTCACTACCACGTCCCTCGCGTGGACAGTTTCCACCTGGACCAAGGGCAACCATGTCGCTGTGGCGGGCAGGACCCAGCTACTCACCGGGAACATTTTGAAAAGCTGCAACTTGTATGCGGTCCACCCTTTCTTGGATTTGTAAATCGGCAGAGGAAACTTGACATTTCTGGCATACTGAGAAAACAGTAACACGAGGAAAATTGTCCTGTGGAAAGAAAAGCAGCTAGGTTAAAGGGTGTTCCTTCAGGGTCTGAAAAGGACAAGCAAAGCTTCAGTGACAAAACTGGCCATGGGTGTGTCTGTGTCGCTCACCCAGAGGGCAGCCGGGACTCTGCAGGACTGCGTGGGACACCAAACCCTTCAGGGATACCTTCTTGGGGAGCATGACTCCCCTCCCTGACCCAGCATTGCCTGACGTTGAGATGAAACAGCAATGCCATGGCTTGGGCTGAGTTCTCACAAACAGAATAAGGAATATCCGCACGGCTAGGGAAAGCTCATGCCATGTGAGGATGAGAGGTGCCGGTACGGCACAGGCTGCACAGGTTCACTACAAGCAGGAGTGAGCCCCCCCGCCCCCACCCTCCGTGTGCCTGCCTATGCAGGAACTGGCGGGAAGGACATGGCAAAACAAATGTCCACGGGAACTGGTAATACAATTCCACTTTTGTGGAAAACACAGGTATACTCACAATGAGTATAAATAACTTCTAACAAGCAAAAATTGAAACTTCCATATTTAAGAAAAGTACACGCGGTAGAATTCAGGATTAGTGATGCTCTGGGAGGTCTTGTGCCAGATGTCACAGTGAGGTCACCTTGTGGAAGGCTGTGACCTCAGCCTTACAGGTGTGCCTTCCAGGTTCGTCCCGTTTGACCACTGGGATGAAGCCAACAGTCCCAAGATCCCACGGCTAGTCTGAGAGTGCTGGGGCCAGGGCCTACCCAGCTCTGCAGCCTGAGCCTTGTCCACTGCTCTGCTGAGTACAAGGACAAGGAGGTCTGGGCTGGTAGAGGACCACTTGGGATTGCCCTGTGGCGGGACCCTGACACTCCTGCACACGTGGGCTGGTGTAGGACTGCTTCTCTCCCCTGGGGGGATTCACTCACTCATCACTGAAATAATGAAAGAGCGCAAGGACAAGCCGGATGCCCCATGGGGCGGCTCCTCCGCCCAGGTACAGCCTGAGGTGGAGCTGCAGGAAGTGCGAGTTCCCGACCAATGAGCTCAATCATTGCTGGGCTCGGTTCCAGCTGCTGAGATGGAATTATTAGCTCCGTCGACAGCCAGTCTGGTGCCGCTTCACTGCTGCATTCCTAATGAGGCGTGGACTACAGCCCGGCTGCAGAGCAGGTGTGTGCTCTCCTCTCCCCCCTTCTCAGGCGCTGCGGTGTGAACTGGCGACCCATTGGGGGTCTCTGCCAGTACTGGTTCAAGGTTGAAAATGCACATGGTGCCCAAGTTACTGCAATTCCTCTGGGACAGTCAACTTTAATAAAAACAATATATCAGGGCTGGTGCTGTGGCTTAGTGGGTAAAGCTGCTGCCTGAAGTGCCAGCATCCCATGTGGATATTAGTTCGAGTCCTGGTTGCTCTACTTCCAATCCAGCTCCCTGCTAACATGCCTGGGAAAGCAGCAGCAGATGGTTCAAGTCCTTGCGCCCCTGCACCCACGTGGGGCCCCAGGCTCCTGGTTTCAGATCAGCTCAGTTCTGGCCACTGTAGCCATTTGGGGAATGAACCAGGAGGTGGTTCTCTCTCTGTCTTCCAAATAAATAAATAAATCTTTTTAAAAAAATACAGGAAAAGCAGATGCTAAATCTGGCCTATTTTAACCTTAGAGAGGCATAAAATTTTTGTGTTAGAAAAAAAATGCTGCTTCTTTTTTTTTCTTTTTTTTTTTGGGGGGGGGCAGGCAGAGTTAGACAGTGAGAGAGAGAGACAGAGACAAAGGTCTTCCTTTTCTGCTGGTTCACCCCTCAATGGCCGCTGCGGCCGGCGCACTGTGGCCAGCGCACCACACTGATTCGAAGCCAGGAGCCAGGTGCTTCTCCTGGTCTCTTATGCAGGTGCAGGGTCCAAGGACCTGGGCCATCCTCCACTGCACTCCTGGGCCACAGCAGAGAGCTGGACTGGAAGAGGAGCAACTGGGACAGAATCTGGCACCCCAACTGAGACTAAAACCCAGGGTGCGGAGGATTAGCCTATTGAGCCACGGCACCGGCCATTGCTGCTTCATTTTAAAGTGAATACTCCAAGGTCCACAAAAGCTACTGATATTATTTCAGGTAAGACCTACCAATACCAGTACCCACTTTGCAAAGGGCACTGAGGAGAGAACAGGGACAGAGTTTGAGGGAGGGCACTCAGATCTCAGGCCTAGGAGCTGGCAATCTGTTCATCAGACACATGAACAGTACATTTTTTTCCCTTGTATAAGACCCATCTAAGTGGGGCCAGACTTGTGGTATAGCAGGAAAAGCAGGCACATCTCATATGGGTGCTGGTTCTGGCTGCTTCAAGTGGGAGACCTGGAGGAAGCTTCAGGCTCCTGGCATTGGCATGACCCAGCCCTGGCAGTTGCAGCCATTTGGGGAGTAAACCAGCAAGATGGAAGATATGTGTGTGTGCAACTCTACCTTTCAAACGAATAAATAAATCTTTTTTAAAAATACCCATTTAAGTTTATTTTTATCCTCAATACACCTGCGGCAGACAGGCCAGGTGCCCTGTGAGCGTAGGGCAAAGGCACAGGCTCAGAGATGGGGATGCACCTGTATTCTCAGTGTCTGGGCCTGGCAGAGGGCACCAGCGGTCAGCCCCAGAGCCTCTGGCTGCACGGCAGGTGCTTCCCACCTCAGGCTTAACATTTCTCATCTTTTTAACCTTTATTTTACTTTACTATTATGCAAGCAATACATACTAAGTTGTAGAAAATTTTGAAAAGGCAGATAAGCAAAAGAATGAGACAAAAACCGAAGGCGACTTACAACCCCCACGCTGGGTGAGAAAATCAGGTAACACTGTGGCCTATCCATTTCTGATTGGCTATTCCCTGCCAGGCATCAGGGTCAGAGGAAGACAGATGGATAGCCTGCCCCCATCCCTGTCCTCAGGGCACCAATGGGTTCTTCTCTAACCCATGTTGGGATCACACTCTACACTATTTCCTAACCAGCTGTCAGCAGCTATCAATGCCAAGAGCACTTCTCTACCTCCTGCTTATGGACAGACCATAACCGTTTAACAATTCCCTTTGGTGTGACACTGGAAGCTACATGAACAACTTCACAAGCCCACCCACAGAGACCAAAATCATCCACTGGCTGCTCACTGGGACATGGTGTCTTATTGTAATTCTAAATCCCTGCCCATTTCATCAATTCAGCTACCTGTATCATCGCTTATTTTAAAATTTTTCCTTTACACATGAGGATATGCATTTCAGCACTGCTTTAGACATCAAATACTTTAAACCACATGAGTGTCAACTGGGGCGTGGCTGGACACACGACAGACCATTCACACAACTTAAGCTTGTGCAGCTTCAGGAGGGGTAAGAACCATCTGCAAACAGGGCTCTGGAGAGACCAGCCAGCAACTTGTTGGGGTGAGACAAGTTACACAATAGTAGGATGTTAATGCTGTGTGCTTCTGTTTGCCTGTATGTGCATAAAAACGTAAAGATATGGAAGGACAAACACCACACTTAACTAATCATGGGATTTCCTTTGAGAGATGAGGTGAGTGGGAGGGGATTATTAACTTACTTCAGATGTCTGCTTAATTCCTGTTCAGTTTCAAATGACTAGCATTTAAATGGATGGGGAGGGCAGGGAGACAGTCGGTGCTCTTGAGCTTGAGGTAGGATGTGGGTGTTCTTTATACTAGACTTTGCATTTTTATGTAGGTTCAACCTTTTTCCTAAGTAAATAATAAATTTTCTCAGGAGAAACAGTTTCTATTAAGGACTTCTGTATCGATGGCAGCTGCTGATTCATTGAACTGGGGCATCTTCTGTGGACACCAGCTGCCACTGCAGCGAGTTGGGTGCCCCGTTTGTGCGACCCCATCCGAAGAAAAGCAGGGAGGACGCTCCCACTACCTGCCACAGGCGTGAACCGCGGACAAGGAGTGCGTGGCCGAGCCCGGGACCTCGGGCACAGGAGCCCTCCTTGTGCAAGTTGTTGAGATTCATTTCTTCTTCTTTTTTTTTTTTTTTTTTTTGACAGGCAGAGTGGACAGTGAGAGAGAGAGACAGAGAGAAAGGTCTTCCTTCGCCGTTGGTTCACCCTCCAATGGCCGCCGCGGCCGGCGCGCTGCGGCCGGCGCACCGCGCTGATCCGATGGCAGGAGCCAGGAGCCAGGTGCTTTTCCTGGTCTCCCATGGGGTGCAGGAGATTCATTTCTAATCTAGTTTCACAGCGGCTCTGACATTGGTATAGCTAAACCTACCCAATATCTACCTTAACAAAGATCTTCCCCACACTGTGATTAAATATTTATGTAGGCTGTCTTCTAGCGTGTTCGCAGTGTTTGATTCGACTGAAATGTCACCTGGTATCAAGCAGGACTCTGGCATTTTCCTATTGTTTTCCTACACGAATCTCTCACGTCCCCCTGGCTGCAAACAGGCTCACCACGCTGTTCTAGACATCTTTCCTTGGTCCTGCTTCCCCCCCCTTCTGCTCCAGCAGTGTCCATCTCTGTCCCAGGCCTATGGTATGACTGAGGAAGCTCTGCGATGTATCTAGTTCCTGGGAGGGCAGGTCGCCGGGCCTGTCCCCACCCCTTCTGTACCGACCCACACTCTTGTTTTCTGGTCTCACGCATGGGCTCGCGTGCCCAGAGCGGCCTGGGTCAACCCCCGTGACGAGAAACATGCTGATCTCAGTTCCTGCCTGCTGTTGTCTCTCAACATTGAAGTGCGGGGCATTTTTAAATCCTCTTCAGGAAACATCCTTCTATTCCCACCCCTCTGACAGCAGGGACACAGGCTGAGTTTGATCAAATATTTTTTGAAGAGTCATCATGGTTCTCATGAATAAAAACACACGAGCAAACTAATTAGTAAGTGCACTTGTGTTGGGTTTTGTCAGCACATTATCTGTTATCTCCTCACCCTTGAATTCCTGAAATGACACAAGGGGTCTTTCGCTATAGTATTTCTAGCAGCATTTCCTCAGACCACATTCCAAACAATATCCTCCCAAGATATGTTTATAGGCGTGGCATTAAAAATAAATTAGGTTTGAGCAGTGCTGGGTACCAAATGCCTGTCTCGGTGAGGAACAGTGTTTCGCATACTTGCATCTGAAAGACTGCAAGGAGCCTTGCTGTGGGTGACCTGGATGTGGCTGAACTCTGCTTGGAACATGAACACAGAATATCCATCAGCCCAGTTTTGTTTTGTTTTTCACAACCCTGGGCTGAGGGCCCAGGGTTCTCCTTTTGTCAGTGAGGACCTGTCACCAGGGTGCAGGTGGCTGGGCAGTTCCCACTTTTCTCGGCGCTCCAGAGCGGCAGAACCCACGCAGGATGTCTCTCTTCCTGAAGATGCAGTACACTCGCCGCTAACTGACGGGGCCCAGGGGTCCACTCCGGATCAAAGACCTGCGACAACGTTCTTCCTGTGGTCATGGGCTGCATCCCCGCTGCCTTCTCACTAAACTCACACCCTGCCTGCTCAGCACCTGCCCTGTCGGAGACAGAAGGGGCACCAGGTGCTGCAGGTGCCATGGTGACTGTCTGCACGAAGGAAGCTGACAGCCCAAGGACAAAGAAGAGCTCTTGGAAACCAAAACGGACAAGAGCAGAAGTGAGAAGCTTGATAGAGAGATTGACAGGTGAAGCTGCGGAGATTCCCACCAACAGAGAAAAGAAGACGAAGAGAAGAAAAACAGGAGAAGGAAAAGGAAAAGAATGGAGGCGGGGCCGGCGCTGCGGCATAGCGGGTTAATGCCCTGGCCTGAAGCGCCGGCATTCCATATGGACGCTGGTTCTAGTCCTGGCTGCTCCTCTTCCAATCCAGCTCTCCGCTATGGCCTTGGAAAGCAGTTATAAGATGGCCCAAGTCCTTGGGCCCCTGCACTCACATAGGAGACTCAGAAGAAGTTCCTGGCTCTTGGCTTCAGATTGGCTCAGTTCTGGCCATTCCAGCCAACTGGGGAGTGAACCAGCGGATGGAAGACCTCTCTCTCTGCCTCTCCTCTCTCTGTGTAAATAAATCTTAAAATATATATATTTATTTAAAAAAATAAAGAATGGAGGTGACTTGGGGAGGTCCGGTGTAAGCCACGGGGAGCAGGCTGTGCAGGTTAGTAGCACAGAGACGACAGGAGAAGGAGCGGCGTGAGGGGCAGAGAGGGAATCCGAGGTCTAAGGCTTTCTCCCACTTAAACTTGAGGAGTCTTGTGGCTTGGCGAGCGCAGGGCAAGCTTGAGGGCTGGCCTGCGAGTGTGGTGCTCAACGGCTCTGACCTTCGGGTTGACATGGGACCGTGGAGAGCTGCAGCCCGGTCCTGACGACCTCAATGGTCAGAGGTTGGAGTGAGAGGCAGCGAATCGTCACGACTTGAGCTTTTCTGTGAAGCCACCTGTAGTTTGCTAGGTTTTTTTTGTGTTTTAATTTGGGGGCAGGCAGCGTCCGGCAGCTCCTCTCATCTTAACTAGGCCACGCCACAAAAGATCAGCTCTGGACTGGTCGCTTTTATTTGCTCCACGTGTTCTGTACCCTTGTTAACCCTCCCCTCTCCACCTTCATCAGATTCATAACTGAAGCCTGCTTTTCTAGCTCCTGAAGATAAAATCAGCTTTAAAAGTTGTGAATTTTCTCAACAAGGGTGACTGGTGCTGGCATTTGTGAAGCTGTTAGTAGCAGCAAAGGGCCCATTTCCTCTCTGCTCGAGAGTTATTTATAAAAATGTTCTAATTAGCCTCTAAGCGGTTGGGGTTTTTCCTCCCTCACCCTCTTGACGCTGGTTTCTAATTCTACTGTATTACAGTGAACTCCTCCATCTTGGTGTTCACTGTGTGTCAGCGAGTGAATACTAACACAAGCCATCACACTCAGGCAGGTGTGGCATACATTTGCACCAACCTTTCGTGAAATGAGAAAATTAAATAAAATTAAATTCTTCCCTGTGTAACACTGTGTGAATTACAATTAAACTGTGACTCACTTTATTCGCACATCGTGTCCTAAAATGCAAAAAGACTGTACTCGGAGAATTAAGCTCTGTCAGAGCAGTGGGGTCTGAAAGCCGCACCAGCTGTGTGACTCTGGGCCAGCAACACTGCAGCTCTGTCCCTTGGTCTCTTCGGCTGTCCAATGGGAATAATGATGCTGTCTGCCTTGTAATACGAACAACTGTTTAAATAAAGCGCTGATGCCTGGTTTAGAAAGCTCCATAGCCAGCACCATGGCTCACTAAGCTAATCCTCCGCCTGCAGTGCCGGCACACTGGGTCCTAGTCCTGGTTGGGGTGCTGGATTCTGTCCCGGTTGCCCCTCTTCCAGTCCAGCTCCCTGCTGTGGCCCAGGAAGGCAGTGGAGGATGGCCTAAGTGCTTGGGCCCTGCACCCGCATGGGAGACCAGGAGAAGCACCTGGCTCCTGGCTTTGGATTGGCGCACTGCGCCGGCCATAGCAGCCATTTGGGGAGTGATCCAATGGAAGGAAGACCTTTCTCTCTGTCTCTCTCTAACTCTGCTTGACCAAAAAAAAAAAAAAAAAAAAAAAAAAAAAAAAAAAAAAAAACAAACAAACAAACAAACAAACAAAAACTCCATAAATTCTGCCTGGTAGTAAATAATTACAGAACAGTTCATAAAGCACAGAATAAATCTGGAAGTCATCTCTAGCAGGACTTCCTTTGCTTCAGAAGTGTTAGCGGCTGGAAACATTACTGACGGTGTCGTCAGTGACTGCACATGTGCTGCACACACAGGAGCCGGAGTTCCCTGCCTCAGTCCTGTATGTCTGCACTGACACAAAGTGTCCACACCTCTGAAAGGGGCGAGGGCAGCTTCAGCAGACTTGACGTTCTGGGCAAGGGGGCCACAAGGTCCCCGGCAGAGACCCCGGATTCTGCCGTGGAGCTCTGTTTGGCCGGGGGAGCTGGACCACACCATCAGTGCCGACAGACCCTTCTGCAGCTCCTGTCCACTGCTGGCCTGGAGGTATTTTTTAGGAGTCATTTGAAGGATGTGGCTTCTCAGTATTTCAAGTCATGCGCCTGAGACTTAGCATGACCTCAAAAGTTAAGAGCTGAGGATGGCACCACCTGACCCATTTAAAACCTTCCACTTCTCCCCTGACGTGACATCATGGCCAAGTCTGTCTTTGGAATACCTTGGCTGTCTATCACTTCCTAAACTCTGGGGCTAAGATCCTTTCCACCATTCCCTGGCACAAGAGGAATAAAGTTCTGTCAGACTGTTCTTTTCAAGAGAGTAAAAAAGTTATCTCCCAGCATCTATGCGAACGTTCCAGAAGGCCGCCCTACAGTAGTGACATGGAGTTAGGGGACACACTTCCCATCCGCTCCCGCAACACTTACAGCATGGCGATGCCCCAGTGCTTCCCCGCTCTCTCCCCGGCTGCCTGGAAACCTGAGAGGCCAATGAGGGCGACCGTGGGCGTGATGGTGAGGGGCCCGATGTAGCGCAGCAGAGCCCCGGGCAGGCCCAGGAGGCCGATGAAGACTTCTATCAACGAGGACATGATGATAGCCCCCTGGATCTGGAAACAGAGACAGTGCAGATCTGAGCATGAGCTGCATCAGGTCAGACACCCCACACGTCACCTGCCACGACCACTAACCACCCCCCCCAGACAAGCTATGTCATCATACAGGGGGCACGACACAGCTGGGACACTCACTGGGACCTAGCACAGCTGAGTACCGCATCACTGATGCAAGATCATTACAGAAATGCGCACCGAGGGGCAGGGGTTGCGGCACATGGTGTTAAGTCACCACAGCCCCCGTCAGACTGTCTGGTTCGAGTCCTGGCTCCTCTGCTTCTGATCCAGCCTCCTGCTAGTGCGCCTGAGAAGTGCACCTGTCACTCAGCCTTTCAAGTGAATAATTTTTTTTTCAAAAGTAAATGGTGCACAGAGTATAAAGCAAGCTATCCTTCACCACTGAGAAACAATATAGACAAAATGTCTGATGTCCACTTAGTGCACACACTGCAGGCCAGAGACTCATGGCTACAGAGTGGGTCTCTGGTGGACAGTCCAAGGGTGTCCAGTGTGAGAATGGCCATGTCTGTGCTAACCCTGCACAGACGGCAAATCATCTCAGATGTGAATCCGCGGCCAGCCCTTCTTCACATCTGCAGAGCGCCACACACGGCTCGGTGTAAGTACACTCGGGCAGACACATTCTCAGTAGTTCTTTCTGAAAACACAGGCAAATCCTGAGGCCAAGATGAGCAACTTTGCTCCCTGTCCACGCGCCAGGCCTCGGCTGGTCACACTGCAAGGTGTGAGCAGACAGGCGCGCGGGCCGGTAGAGGCGGGGCGCCGCCTGGCTGCACGCAGCCTTTCCACGGGCTCTGCTCGGCGGGGACATTAGCTACGCTTAGTTTGCCCAGAGCGAAACGTCTCAGATCCTGAGAGGGGCTAATGAACGTGAGTGCAGTTTCTGGGGAGCAGACAACGGCCGCTCTTTACCTCTCGGATCCGGGGGTACCAGATGTGCTCCGTGTGCAGCAGCTCTGCGGTCCCGTTGGCAATGGACACATCTTGAAAACACAAACAAAGACAAGGTTTTCCTTGGAGTGACCCTGAGGCCTCGCAGGACTCATGCACTTCACCCTTCAAGGAGAAGCTCCTCCCTGTGTTAAGTGTCCCGTGTCCATCAGCACCCATCCCTGCCATCCGACCTCAACAGGGCAGCGGAGCACACTGACAGGTGCGCTTCCCCAGGCTAATTTAACCAAATGCACCCCAGCGCCCTGAGAGCTCCCCAGTGTGTCACGGCTGACGGAAGCGGCGATCCACATTACTGGTTCCGGCCTCACGCCAGAAAGCCAACCTTCGCCAAGCGGCCGACTGAAATGCCCCACAGCGAGCTTGCTGGACTGAGGTTTTAGGAACCTAGGTAAAACAGAGGGCCTTTGCTGGCGCCTACAGCAAATCCATGGTCCCAAAGTAATTCCTAGGAGCGAGGAAGGAAGTGAGGGCTGGGACTCTGTTGCTCCTGGAACCTCAAAGCGTGAACTGTCTTTTGAGAGGGCTACAGGTCTGACTCTGATTTTCTCCAGTCCCTGACCTTGTCGGGTTCCTTAAGGATCTTTGCAATCACTAAGGAAGGGGACCGAGAGTCGTTTGCAGGAAACCGCAGGAGCCAGATCCTTAAAAAGCAGAGACGTTTCAGAGAAGGGATGCTGACGCAGCAGAGAGAGTGATTACTGGGGAGGGGTGGGGGTCGTCAAAACCACGGAGAGAGAGAGGCAGAAAAATAGCACAAGTATTTTTCTATCCCGTTCCCGCATGTATCAATTTCATTAGCATAGAGAAGTGAGGTCATGCCTGGTCCTTACTTGCTCTTAGGCTGGGGACAGATGAACGAGTGGATAGAGAGAGACAGACAGACACGATCCACAGATTGGAGCTCTAAGCTGTGTGTGGGTTTGTGCCTAATTCCATCAGGGACGTCCTGCTGCTGAGGGCAGCGTGGCCAGGCCTCCCTTCGGTCACCTGCATGAAAAGGACCCCAATGACATATGTGGAAATAACTGCAATTACCTGTGGTGTTACATTTCCATTTATCTAAAGACAGGATGGCTCGAGCAGGGGCCAAAAATGCAAAAGCACTGGCCTGAAACAGGGGTAACCTAAAAGAAACGAGACCAAAACCATGATCACGGCATCGGGAACTACCGAGGTAGTTCACTATTGACAGCGTAACAGTCTTTTCCACAGACACACAGCACATGGGTAAAGGCAGGCACACCTGGAAGAAAGAGCCCCGGCTGCAGGGATCGCCTCCTACGCCACACAGCTCCGTCCTCCCTCCTGCTGCTCAGCCCCAGGAAGCTCTGGGAGGAGGGGGGTGGTCAGGGAGTCTGGGGTCAGTGCCAGCAGCCCCTGCCACCGCCACCTTTCCCCTGGAGGGAGGGGGCCTTTGGGCACCTGGGCTTCCCCCTTTGCCTGCTGAGCTACGAGCTCCTCCTTAAACGCCAGTGCGCTCTGCTACGGAACCTCCCCCCTCCTCTTCCCTTTCACAGTCTGATCCCCTGGCATGAGCAGCGTCTATCTCCTCCCGCTGTTCCAGTGTGAAGAGGCAAAGACAGCCCTGCTCACGGCCGGCAAGTATTGAAACTGTGTTAGCGATCCAGACCTCTCAAAGGGAAAGGAAGTGGTGAGTTATACAGGAGAGGAAATACACTAAATATTCTGCATCATCCTTAAAAATCCTCACAAGTGCTCGAACGCATCCTCAAGGGGCCGGGCACCCTCCCTGCCCACCTCCTCCGAATGAACGCACAGACCCTCGAACGCCACCACTCGGTCACTTTAGATGCTTGATGCTGAATTCACGAGCACTGTGGCTCCTCCAACTGGAAAGAACTTTGCCTTTTCTGAAGAACGCACAGTATCTCCGCTAGGTTGTACGACTGTGGCTTTACGGGCTCCTGAGAAAACTGTAGTTTTCGCATTATTTGTGGCTCTGGTTTGCAGAACTGGGGAGACCCCCCTCCCAGCCCCGATACCCAAATCCTTCTTAAAGGCTCTAAGTGGCCTTGCCAGTGAGACAGAAACCCGAGGTCTTCTCGCAGCTACCGGACAGCAGGTTCAGCCCACGGGGGACCAGGTACTAGATTGAGTGACACAGCGGGCTGGGCAAGTCCAGAGCCAGTGCACACCATTCTGAGTCAGACAAGGGTCAGGATCCCTGTGTCACAGACGCCCACGTGGCTGTGTTAACCACGCAATGAAAGCAGGAAGGGTGCTGGCTTTAAGATGGAGGCAGACCACCCAGCACAACCCAGACGCCCTGCTGACAGCCACTCCCATGGGCATACCCCCCACCAGCTGCCCAGCTACGACCACCTGCTGGAGGGGAGAACACTGTTCAACTTTGCAAAAAGCTCGAGCAGCATGAATTTTTGGGAGCACAAGCAAAGGGCAGAGGGAAGGCAGCACCTCACAGGGGAAGGAAGCCACCTCGCAGGGTCCAAGCAGCAGCTGTGTCACTGGGGTTTCAGATTTCAAGCCGTGCTTCCCACAGCAAGGGAAAGGAAGAGTGAGCTGCAGGAGGAGATCTAGGCCTCAGGAGCCTGGCCATCCCGTGCTGTCAGACTGGCACTAGGTTCCACGGGTCGGATCTCAGCCTGAATCTGATCGTGTCCTCTGTCAGGGCAAGCACTTTATGGGTTAACAAGGACGAAAGGCCTTGCCAGCACTGTGAAAAAGCAGCTCGCTCGTTTGCAAGCAGCTGGATTCTGGTTTCCTCTGAGTGGGCGACAACGGAAAAAGTCTCCCCCAGGGCAATCAGGAAAGAGCCACACGCACTGGTGCTAGTGTCGCCATTCAGCCACGCACAGCACTGCCCCGGCAGCTAGTGTGGGCTGTGCAACTGGCAGCATGACCCAGTGGCGACTGCAATATTCCTGGGGTAGCTGCAGCGAGAGCACATGAACATGCTACGCAGCAGCCTCCGAGCTCACGGTCATCAGAGCCAAATTCCCCAGAAAGAGACCAACACCACAGAGCGGTTGTGCCCAGGAGCCTGCCCAGCGTGAGGCTGGCCAATCCTTGCTCCTGTCTTGGAGATCCTGCTCACGTGACCATCATCCAAAACCTCAGGCACATGGATCGCCCCAGGCACCCAAGACTGCTGATGGGTGGGAAGGCTGATGGCTGGGAAGGAAGCTGATTAAACTGGCCGGTGAGGCAAATCTGCCACGCCGTCTGCTTTTGCGAGGCAGGGATCCCTGGAACACAGGCTTGCTCGCTCGCTCACCCGTGCACCGCATGGTTACCACGGACCCTGCAGGGCCTCGAGCAGCCACTTTCGCAGTGTTCTCTTTTGCATGGAAAGTCTACCTTCAGTGTGGAAAAGCCTGTGGATTCTCGCAGGGACCGCGTCTACAATCCACAGTATGACCAGCCGGTAGTGTCAAGCAGCCTGAGCAGACAGGACACTTTGTCATACCTGGCCCCCGTCAAGCCCCAGGCTAGGGCGGCAACAGGATCTAACCTGTCCCAGACAGGCTCTGCTTTACTGAAAGCCTTGTTGGAGGCTCCTCATTTCTGCCTGGCTACCGAGGTGAACTGAACCCCGTGCCTCACCCACCTGCCCTTTCACACATCTGCTGTCATCAACAATTGCCTGTGTTCAGTTTTTAGTCGTCACTCAAGCCACGTCCTCCAGGATCACTCCTGAAACTGTAATTTGTTCCCCTACAGTTCAAGACTTCCTAGCTGCCACTTTTGCAAGTCACCCGCCCGAGGTGCCGGGAAGAAATGGGGCAGGGTCTACGTCTCACGGGGTTCTGGGCTGGGGACCCCAGAGCGGCACTGCGAAGTCGCTTCTAGGTGAGGTCGAGACTGACAGCCCCTGTGCTAGAGGAAGCAAGCCATCACTTTGGCCCTCGCAACCACTTCTTGGGGACGTGCGAGACACAGGCACAAGGCTGAGCAGATACAACAACGAAAACAACTACGCAGCGCCTTGTGCGGGGTTTCTGCATTGTTCAGGAGATGCCAATCATGGCCACGTGTGAACGGGGCAGGCTGCTGTGGGCTCTGCAGGAGTGGTCACGGAGGCCAGGACGAGGGCGCTGGTAGCCCTCAGCACGTTCCTAAGGAGAGCGCAGAGGAAGCTGAAGCTGGACTGGGGAGGCTGGAGAACTGCAGATGCTTTACAGTGAGGGAAAGGACGGGGCAAAGGTCAGAGGGCACAGGGCCAACACTCTGCCCGTGGGCAGAAGGAAAACCCCAGAAAGAGCCACTTTAGGGGAGCAGGACAGGTGACCCAGACCTGAAGCTACTCTGGCCTGGTGGGAACCTCACCGTGGAGGACGGCCCCAAGGCTGTGGGGCAGGGACCCTCCCCCCATCCTCTGGCCCTGGCTCAGGGGACCGAGCATCCCAGGCCAGGCTGCTGCACACTCGTTCACGGATGGGCCACAGTCTCTGCCGCTGCATTTCCCAGATGCTGACCCTGCCTGTCCCGGCCTCATGGCCAGATGCCTGGACCTAGCACGTACGTCCCCGGCCAACAAATGCATGACTAGCTGATGGCTCCACCTACCAATGTCCTATAACAGGGATTTTATCAGACTAGAACTGGGAGGTTATTTTCTGGAATGTTGATTTTCGCTGCAAATTTGGGAGAGGGCATTGCTCAGACTGGAAGCCCTACACAGACGGAGCCACGAGGCATCAGCACACGATGGGCCAGGCAAAGCTTCAGGGCCACCGAGGAAGCCCTCCAGAAGCTCAGAAGGCCTCGGGTTGTGCAGAGCATCAGGAAGGCACAAAGCTATCTGCCCAGAACTTAGCTCTTCCATGAAAATGAACAAAAATAAAACCCGTTCACACAGACAGCAGGCATTGTGCCCTCGCTTCCTCAACCAACCAATCACCCACATCTCGCAAGACCCTTCGCTGCCACACGAGTGCAGGACAACCTGAAAACCATACCTGTGGCTGTGGTTTTAATATTGGATTTGCCATTGGGAGTGCCTGTCCCAAGTGTCTCTAGAGAACAGCAAACCGCAACATGCCAAAGAAAATTTGGTAACTGATGGCCTGCACCATTACTTACTGTACAAGGGGGCAGTTCTGACACAAAAAGTTCTGAAAGCTATGTATGTGAGAGATCTTCAAAAAATGCAGGAGGGGGCTAGTGCTGTGGCGCAATAGGTCAAGCCACCTCCTGTGATGCTGGCATCTCATTTGGATGCCAGTTCGAATCCTGGCTGCTCCACTTCTGATCCAGCTCCCTGCTAATGTGCCTGAGAAAGTAGCGGAAGATGGCCAAAGTGCTTGGGCTTCTGCCACCCACATTGGAGACCGGGAAAAAGCTCCTGGCTTCAGGCTGGCCCTGGCCCAGCCACTGCAGCCCATTTAGGGCCATGAATTGATGTGTGGAAGATTCTCTTGTCTCTCCATCCCTCTGTCTTTCAAATAAATGTTTTTAAAAAATGCATGAAAAATGCATAGTACAGAAAAACTATACATGAATTTCAAAATTTATGCACCAAAATAAGCTTACTTTATAACTACATTTTCCCTGAACTTTCTGAAATACTCCCTTACCTGTGTATCTGTCGCTCTAATGGCTGGGCTGTTAGAGTCGCTTGCAGATCTAGCATACGTCACCAACACTTCAGCACACCTCCCCTAAGAATAAGCATATTCTCCTACATCTCCACCTTCCCCTCATCACAGCCAAGACCAGGGACAGCAATTTAATAATGCAATCCAACACTCAAGCCATACTTAACTTTCTCTAATTGTTTAAAAAAAAGTACTTACATCTCCTCCTCCCTTCCGACTGAAGCCCTATATTGTGTCCAGTTATCCAGTGTCAGGTTCAGGTCCAGACCAGACATCTTTGGCAAAGAAACTGCACAGGTGTCACCGCCTCATGGCAGGAGCTCCTCCTTGGTAGAAGTTTGTTTAAGGCGGCAGCTGCTGTACCTCTCCACTGCAAAAGTGCCTCTTCCCCTGTGCAATTAATAATCTGCCCAGGGGCCGGTGCCGTGGCACAGCAGTTAAAGCCGCCGCCTACAGTGCTGGCATCCCATATGGGCACTAATTCAAGTCCTGGCTATTGCTCTTCCGATCCAGCTCTCTGCTATGGCCTGGGAAAGCAGGAGAAG